TATATGTATATATAATATATATCTATATACACCACCCTGTGCTTTCTTTTAGCCATCTCCATCGCTGATGCTAGGAGGAGACTGGACAGCAAGCTGACTCTTCGTCAGGCAGAGGGGATCTGCGGTCTCTCTCTGGCCAAATTTTGGGACCTCACATCGTCCCTGTGGGCACAGCTCCTGCCATTCCCCATCTCCTCTCTGCAATAAGGTAGCGGGTTAGAGATAGCTGTCCTGTCTGTTGGCCGCAGCCCAGGGGCTGGGCACTGCTCCACACCATCTCGGGTGGTACAGGGGGACCTGGGCTGGGGACTTGGGCCACGCTGAGGTCTGTCCTGCAGCTGCCCTGGGGTGGGTAAGATGCTTGTGGCTCTCTGCAGGCAGGAGGGAGTGCTCAGGAGGCCCTTTGGGGAAGTTGAAGTTGGGTTTCGCTGGGATCGGAGCCCCACCATGTTGCGTTGAGCTGAGGGAAGGCAGAGATGGGATGTTGGTGTATGAGAATGGGTGGCAGCTGAAAGTAGCCCAGCCCTCTGCTCCGGAGGAGAGACCAACCTGCTTTGGGACAGCCAGATCCCCTTGTCTGCTGGGCAAGGCAGTGCCCTTCATGTGACCTCTCAGCTACTACCTCTAGTAATGGCTCTGCTACCTCTAGTAACGGCGCTACTGCGGTGCTAGCAGCCTCGCGGGGACCATTCCTGTGCCAGATGCTCTGGAAGCACGGTGTGTTCCCCGTGCTAGCACCGCACGAGTCTTAATGAGCCTTCCTGGCTCCGGGAGGGAGCGGGGGAGGCTCCTGGCAGGATGGAGAGGCGCAGGGAGGCAATTAAGGCAGCCCCCCATTGCTAGGGCAGCGCAAGGGGGTTTGGAAGTGTCACTTGAAGTACAGGCTGGCTTGACCTGTTTTGGGGGGACTGGGAGGTTGACACACTGCAGAGCCACAACCTGCAAGCCCAAAGCTGAGGCAGTGGATGTCAAGGAGCACAGGAGCTCCCCGAAGCCCACCCTGAGGTAGGGGTCCCAGGATTGCCTATGTCCCCATGGAGGGAGAGCCTGCACCGCTGGCGGTGCCCTCTTGAAAGCTGGGCAGAGGTTAGAGGAGTGAGTTCAGGAATTGCAGCGTTTTATTCTCAAACCCTATAATTAATAGCTGTCAGGCCTGAAGGTTTCCCGTTGCCATGTTTGATCTGGTCATCTTGTTTGCTGCAGGACGAAGCCCCTTTCAGCGGGGAGTGTTTGAGTCCAGCTAAGCCCTTGGCCCATGGGGAGCCCTGCAGCAGCAAGCCTTACAGATTAGGAAGGGAAAAACCAGTCCCTTTCCGCCCCTCAAAATGTGTTAACAACCCCTTGGTGGGGAAATAGAGGAGAGCATGCAGGTGGTGTCTGCTGCATCTGTCTGTCTCCCCCG